TGTTGTTAAAGCATGTATGTAACAATTGATCTACTGTGTTACGCAATCAAGTACTTTGGTGGTTATGTGGTCATAGGAATTTAGCAAACCTACATGAGCAGGCATGCCACCTCACCAAGGGTTGGGCAAAGACACCAGTGATCATAGGACAGATAGCACAGGCAGATCCTCAGGTACAAGGATAAGAAAGCAGGAAGTCATCTACTGTTGAATCAGAGATGGTTCAGTAATTATATGGGAATAAGTCATTATCTTTAGAGTTATGGGCCTTGTGTGTGTGTGTGTGTGTGTGTGTGTGTGTGTGTGTGTGTGTGTGTGTGTACTGTAAGTCTCCCAATGCAGTGGGTGTACTGTGAGGCTCTTCAGGGTGTTAACAGAGCATGACCAGACCATAGAGATATATTGTGGTGATGCCGACAGACAGTCTGATGACAGATTGGGACATGATTGGCTGTCAGAACATTAGCAAACTCTCCTTTTGCTCTCTCTTGCTCTTTTATATTGTCTCTCACCCCCCTCTCTCAACCCTCACTCTCCATCCCCCGCTCCAATCCTCCTCCTCTCTCACCCTTATCTCTCACCCCTCTCCATCTCCCCTCTCCATCTCCTCCTCTCTCATCCCCTCTCCATCTTCTCCTCTCATCCATTCCCCCCTGGTCCATCCTCCTCCTCTCCTCATCCCACCTCCATCTTCCCTCCTCTCTCATCCCGCCCCTCCATCTCCCCTCTCTTCATCCACCAACCCAGCCCATCTCTCATCCCTCTCCATCATCCCCTCCCATCTCCCTCTCCCCCTCCATCCCCCTCCTCTCTCATCCCCCCTCCCTTCTCCTCTCCTCATCCCTCTCCTCCCCCCTCTCTCATCCCCCCTCCATCTCCCCCTCTCTCATCCCCTCTCCTCTTCTCCCCTCACCTCTCCCCCTCTCCCCCCTCTCATCCCCTCTTTCCCTTCTCCTCTCCATCCCCCCCCCCATCTCCCCCTCCTCCCCAAAATCCTCCCTCCTCTCTCATCCCCCCTCCATCTCCTCCTCTCTTATTCCCTCTCCATCTCCTCCTCTCTCACCCCCTCTCTCACCCTCCCTCCCCCACTCTCTCTCCCCCTCCTCTCCTCCTCTCTTTTATCTCCCCTCCATCTCCTTCTATCCATCCCCCCTCCCCCCCTTTTTGCCAACTCCCCCTTCCCCTCCCCCTCTCTCTCTCCCTCCACTCATCCCCTCTCATTCCTCCTCTCTCATCCCCCCTCCATTTCTTCTCTCCTCCCCTCCCATCCCTCCTCTCTCATCTCCTCTCCATCTCCTCCTCTCTCATATCCTCTCCTCCCCTCTCATCGCCTCCTCCCCTCTCCATCTCCTCCTCTCTCATCCCCTCTCCATCTCCTCCTCTCCCCATCCCCCCCCGTGCTCCCTCTCTCCCCTCTGCATCCCTCCCTCCACTCCTCCTCTCTATCCCCCCCTCCTCCCCTCTCCATTTCCTCCTCTCTCATCCCCTTCTCCTCCCCTCTCTTCCCTCCTCCCCCTCTTTCCCTCCCTCCTCTCTCATCCCTTCCATCCCTCCTCTCACCCTCCCATCACCTCCTCTCTCATCCCTCCATCTCCCCCTCCATCTCCTCCCCCTCATCCCCTCTCCATCCCTCCTCCTCACCCCCCTCCTCTCCCCTCTCTCACCCCTCTCCATCTTTCCTCTCCCCTCCCCCCTCCATCTCCTCCTCTCTCATCCCCCTCCATCTCCCCCCTCCATTTTCCTCCCCCCTCATCCCCCCTCCATCCCTCCTCTCCCCACCCCCTCTCCATCTCCTCCTTCTCATCCCCTCTCCATCTCCTCCTCTCTCATCCCCCTCCTCTTTTCCCCCTCTCCCCCTCTTTCCTCTCCCCTTCTCATCCCCTCTCCACTCTCCTCTCTCCCCCCCCTCCCCTCCTCCTCTCTCCCCCTCCTCCATCTCCCCTCCCTCTCCTCCTCTCTCTCCCCCCCCTCCATCTCCTCCTCTCTCATCCCCTCTCCATCTCCTCCTCCTCATCCCCCCCTCCCCCCTCCTCCTTCTCATCCCCTCTCCATCTTTTCCTCTCCCCCCCTCTCCACCCCCCTCCTCTTTTCATCCCCTCTCCTCTCCCCCTCCATCTCCTCCTCTCTTTTCCCTCTCCCTCCTCCCCTCCACCCCCTCTCCCCACCCCTCTCCTCCCCTACTCTCTCATCCCACCTCCCTCTCCTTCCCCTCTCTCCTCTCCTCCCTTTCCTTTTATCTCATCCCCTCTCTCCCCCCTCTTTGCCACCCCCTCTCCATCTCCTCCTCTCTCATCTCCCCATCCATCCCCTCTCGTCTCCTCTCTCATCCCCCCTCCTGTCTCCTCTCTTCCCCTTGCATCTCCTCCCTTCCCATCTCCTCTCCATCTCCTCCTCCCATATCCTCTCCTCCCCTCCTCGCCTCCTCCCCCCTCTCCTTTTCCCTCCCTCTCTCCCCTCTCCATCTCCTCCCTCTCATCTCCCCCTCCTGTGCTCCTCTCCATCCCCCTCTGCATTCCTCCTCTCCTCCCTCCCCCTCTCATCCCCTCTCCCCCCTCTCCATCTCCCCTCTTCTCCCCTCTCCTCCCCTTCCTCCCCCCCTCCCCCCCCTCCACTCCTCCTCTCTCATCCCCCTCTCCACCCTCCTCTCTCTCCCTCCACACCTCCTCTCTCTCCCTCTTTTATCTCCCCCCCCCATCTCCCCCGCTCTCATCCCCCCTCCTCTCCTCCTCCCCCTCACCCCTCCCTCTCCCCCTCTCCATCCCCTCTCCATTTTTCCTCTCTCTCCCTCTCCTCTCCTCCTCTCTTTCCCCCCCCCTCCATCTCCTCCTCTCTCACCCCCCCTCCTCTCCTCCCCTCTCTCCCCTCTCCTCTCCTCCTCCTCATCCCCCCTCCATCTTCTCCTCTTCACCCCTCTCCATCTCCTCCCCTTTTCATCCCCTTCCATCTTTTCCTCTTCTCCCCTCCCACTCCTCCTCTCTCCCCCCCTCCTCTCCTCCCTCTCTCTCCCCCTTTCCCTTTTCCCCCTCTCCCCCTCTCCATCTCCCCTCTCTCATCCCCTCTCCCTTCTCCTCTCTCACCCCTCCCTCCCCTCTCCCCTCCCCCCTCCTCCCCCCCTCTCCATCTCCTCCTCTCTCATCCCCTCTCCATCTCCCCCTCCTCCCCCCTCCATCTCCTCCTCTCTCATCCCCCTCCATCTCCCCCTCTCTCCCCTCTCCATCTCCTCTCTCATCCCCCCCCACGCCACCCCCCTCGCCACTCCCCCATCTGAAAAAAATAATTTTTCACTCACTAATTAGGTCGCTCTGGATAGAGCTCTGCCAAATGACTAAATTAAATGTTCCTCTCTCTCCCCCCTCCACTCCTCCTCTCTCACCCCCCTCCCCTCCCCCTCCATCTCCTCCCTCTCACCCCCCTCCTCCCTCTCCATCCCCCCCTCACCACCCCCTCTCCATCCCCTCTCCATCTCCTCCTCCATCCCTCCCTCTCTCCCCCCCCTCTCCCCCTCTCCCCCCTCCCATTTCCCCCCCCCCCTCCTCTCCTCCTCTCTCTCTCCCCCCCCTCTCTCCCCCCCTCCCCCCCCCCTCCTCCCTCCTCTCCATCCCCCTCCATCTCCTCCCTCCCTCCCTCTCCTCCCCCCTCCTCTCCCCCCCTCCATCTCCTCCCCTCTCATCTCCCCTCTCTCTCCCTCCCATCTTCCCCCCCCCTCTCCTCCTCTCTCCCCCCCCATCCCTCCCATCTTCCCCCCCACCACCTCCGCTCTCATCCCCCCCCATCTCCTCCCTCCATCTCCTCCCATCTCATCCCCCTCCCTCCTCCTCCCCTCTCCTCCTCTCTCCCCCCTCTCCATCTCCCCCCCCTCTCCCCCTCTCATCTCCTCCTCTCCACCCCTCTCCATCTCCCCCCTCCCCCTCCGCTCTCATCCCCCCTCCTCTCCCCCTCCTCCCCCCTTTCCCCTCATCCCCCACTCCCCTCCCACACCTCCCATCTTCCCCCCCCTCCCTCCTCCTCTCTTCCCCCCTCCATTTCCCCTCCATCTCCTCCTCTCTCATCCTCCCATTCCCCCCCCATCTCCTCCTCTCCCCCTTTCCCCCTTCCATCCCCCCCTCCTCACCTCCCTCCATCCCCCTCCCTCCCCCCCCACTCCTCCCTTTTCCCATCCTCTCCATCTCCCCCCTCCACCCCCTCCCTTCATCCCCTTCTATCTCCCTTCTCCATCCCCTCTCCATCTCCCCCCTCCATCTCCTCCTCTCTCATCCCCTCTCCATCCCTCCCCCATCCCTCCTCTCTCTCCCCCCATCTCCTCCTCTCCCTCCCCTCCCCCTCCCCATTCCATCTCCCCCCCCCTTTCCCCCTCTCTCATCTCTCCCTCCCTCACTCTCATCCCCCCCCCATCTTCCCCCTCCATCTCCTCCCCTCCCTCCCTCTCCTCTCCCCCCTCCTCACCCCCCCTTCATCCCTCCCCATCTCCCCCTCCCTCCCCCCCATCTCCCCCCTCCATCTCCCCCTCTCTCACACCTCTCCATCTCCCCCTCCATTCCCCCCCCTCTCTCATCCCCCCCACTCCCCCTCCACCCCTCCCTCTCATCCCCTTCCTCCCCCCCCATCTCCCCCTTCCCCCCCTCCCATCTCCCC